ATAATATATAGTAACGTTACACAAATTTATAGAAAGAAAATTATTACAAATAATTATCACGTAAAAAATATAAACAAGGTTATAAAACGCAAAATATATTATAAAAACTATTATATAATAAAGAAAAAAATATCAAAAGAGAAATCAAAATTTTTGGAAAAGAAAAAGAATTGAACCATTTGTCGTGTGAAAAGTATTATGTGAACGCGTTAAATGTTATACAATGATACATTAACTTGTTAAGTATAAATTAAATAAATAAAACGTGATACTATCGAATAATCAAAAATAATACATTTTTTTTCAATAATCAAAAAAGATAGAATTTTTTTTTCAATAATCAAAAATGATACATTTATTTTTTCAATAATCAAAAACGATACAACAGTTTGTACAACTAACTTCTATAATCAAAAAGCATCACCTCCTTAATCAAAAACGATATATTTGCTAAATATTATACTATGATCACGTGATAGGGAATTTTACTAGAACGTACGGGTTCATCAATTACATCATAAAAATGATAATCAATAAAATCATGCCTAACGAAAGAGTTCACGAATACTTCAAGAGAACACCTAAGGACTGGAGTATTGTTGATTTTTTAAACGAATCCATTGAAGAACCTTTCAAACAAAAGATAGATAGATATCTTAAATCTCTCGAGACAATTATGGATAGCGAACAAGGCAAAAGGGCTGATAGAGCAAAGTTTCTCCACGATAATTATAAGAAGGCAAGTAAAGACTTTTTTTTTGAAATGTTGGAATATGTGGCATGGCGAAGGATCTGTTCGATTGTTCGTCATTTAAAACTGTTCGTTGAGCCACAAAACCAGTGATGGGGCGCAGATAACCTGCTCGCTTGTCTGTTGCTAAAAAGACTGTTCGTCTATCCAGCACTGGACCCACTGGGCACAGATGGACTGTTCGTCCGGCTGATGTTCCGGTGAGATAGGAAATATTAGTCGAAAATTAATACTTAATACTAATTTCCAGAATTTTCACGCTAGGAACCTAGACCTGATCGTACCAAAGCAAAAGAATGGGAAGAGAAGCGTATGAAGAAGCAGGTTCATATCCACCAACCAAATCTAAACGCGGGGACTGTAATAAATGAAATAAATGGTGGAACATTTGAAAGTGTAAACAACGAAGTAAAATTTATGTCAAAAAAGGTACGAATGTGTAATTTATGAGAATTGACAGAATTTTGGCTGCCTGATATAATTCTTTCTTCATACATTTAGTCCGATGATGATGATGATTTCCAACCTGTGCCTGTCCGTCAACAAAAGCGAAAAAAAAAATCTATCACTACCAAAGGTTAGGATATAATAATAAAGTTTTTGATATAAAATTTTTTATGCGAGCATTTTCTACTATTTGTTGTGTGGACAGGCCGAAACTACAAAGAATACGCCATCATCACTACCAAAAGCAGTACTAGAAGTATCACCGGGAAGTGGAAATTTTATTCTTAATGTAAGTATTTTTTTTTTCGTATTTTAAAAATGATATCCCAATGTTAATATTCCTCCATCACTTGTTACTCCATGACTCTTATGCACAGGATCAACGACCACAAACTTCCGATCCGTCAGATCTGTATATAGAAGTGGAGGAAAATGCCGGAGATCATTTTGTAGAACGTATAGAAGATCATAAACCAACGTCAAAACATGTCGATCGTGGATCCTCCGGAGTGGTACTAACGTTGGAGAGACATTAGCAAGATATGTGGAAACCATTCCGGAGGCCCAAAAATGTTTAAAGTGAGTTTATTGAATTGTCAAAGGCCAATGGATGTTGATGAATATGTTTAATCATGGGATTTTTCGCTCGTAGTCTCGCTTATTGGAACATACTTGATCTTACTGAGGATGGCCTAATAAGATCTTTTTTTTCAAAGAATGACTGGCAGGAGATAACAGAAAGCTTCGAAAAGGAAGTTACTTTAATCGAATCAGATATACCGGATGTTGTGACATATTTTTTCAATGAAGTAGAGAAGGTTGGTAAGGTTTTCTTGTTATAGCATTTTAAATGTTGCTGACCAATTCATTTTTAGATAACAAAACAAGAAAACGAAAACATTGTTAGGGAAATCGAAAATTTATCTCCGGAATTAATTGAAAAGAATAATCATGTTGAGCTAACAAAAGAGGAGAAAGATATTGTTGATAACATCAGACGTGCTATAATAACATAGTAAGTTAGTCAATGTAGGATTACTTTATATCTTTTGATTATTCATTTTCCAATTCTTGTCACAGTACAGAAAACCTAAAAGGACTCGAACTACCCATCTCAGAGAGCGATTTTGACAATGATTTTCCGAACATGCTGACAAAACGATTCTTAGAAAAACGAGATCTGAAAATGGATGTGTAAATATAGACAGGAATACGGTCTGATCTTCATTTGATTAACCCGTTATTCTTCCAATTTTTGTAGTGGTGAAATCGCCTGCTGGGCTTCTTCTCGACGCAGGAATGAAGGGCGTTTGATTGTCCTTCGCGCACGAATAGGCCAGAAATGTGATTTTCGTGGTACGTTAAAAAACAGTGTTAATAGTCTCGAAGCAATTATTGGGCTCAGAAGTGGGGGTCTACCGATCGCCCATCGCAAAAAGATTTTTGAGGATCGTATTGATCTTTCCGTGGCTATGCGTGACGTTTTATATGATTTTTTCAAGTCTAATTCGCACGCACCTGGAGACGATCTCCACCGCACGTATGTTCTCGGGATCCAATCTTGGGGTAAGCAGACAAATATAATGATTACATTTGAAAATTTTAGTAACTAATATTTTAGTTTTCATGCTAAGGGTGGGTTCACGAAACGTACGGGATGGACTGTAAGGCCACAAACGTATTACGCCTTGGAAGACTTTCCCAGACCAGGTTGCCAAACACCCAAAAATCGCTTGCAATTCTTGAAGGCTTTTATGCGATCATGTCAGATGTCAAGGTACTATATGCTCATTGTCATTGTAGTTGATATTATACAGCATCTCATTATCAGTTCATCTCATTTAGGCCACGTTGAAGGCAATTTGCGATCATACAAACAATGTCTCACTTTCCAATTCACGTGCACATAGAGATCGCAAGAGGAAAAATTCAGCACATGATAAGCAACTTGGATCATTTGGCATACCTTCAGCAAGCCCAAAGAAGAAAAATAAATTGCAAATTGCGTGATAATCTTTAAGTAGAATTATTGTATGATAGTTATCAGTGAAAAGTAATAAATAGATATAATATATAATAGGATGTAATAGAATAATGTAATTATGTATGATGGCCGGATTGATTGCCTATTTCCCGAACTTGTAATTATTTTTTACTTTATTGCTAAACCAATATATTGTGATACGAAGCTTGGTTGATCCAAGATAACGAGATGACCTACTACAACTAATGAATCAAATTTTTTTCTTGGCAAATCACATGATTTTTTTCTAATCGATTGTACACGCGCATATGATTTGATCGGAGTTAATATTTCTAGCAGATACTGACGTGTAAATTTTGAGTATATAGTAAACTATCAATTTTTTCGTACACATGATAGAATAGTTATGTACACATGATTGTTCGTCTAACAATTACACAATTACATAATGATTTATAATTATTTGAATATATGTATATAATAATATCAATAATATTTTATATGATCATCATAACAGATAATCTTTCTCTTTTCTTTAAGGTTACCCCTACGGATAGGGATGGTTAGGTCGGTCCTGGTCCGGTCCTGGTCCTGGGACCTATAAGTCCTATTGAACGGACCTGCGGACCAGGTCCTGTTAGGACCAGTCCTGGACCTGGTCCCAGGACCTGGTCCTGACTAAGTTATTTATAGATTTTATGAATTTTAGTAATAATTAAATACAAAAAAAGTGAGTTGCGATATCGGGATTCACTTTTTTATATTGATTTTATATAAAAAAAGTGAGTTGCGGTATCGGGATTCACTTTTTTATATTGATTTTATATAAAAAAAGTGAGTTGCGG